TTGTAGGCTAGTCTTACAAAAAAAGGTGGTTTTTTGTATTCATTGTCTCCCAAATTATTACCCCGTCTATTGTGGGTACATTTTTTTGGTATTTCTTTTCCCCCTCCAGAAAACATTATCCCAAAAAGAGTAATAATGAGTTATTGTGTGGTTCCAGAAAATATCCAAACCCCCCCCCCCCCTACCCCAACGGAAGACCATTGGAAATTCCGAGGGGGAGGGGGGGTTCAAAGGCAGTAATTTCCGAGGGGTAGGGGGGGTTCATGGGAAACTTTTTTCCAAAGGGTGACTGACCACGTGACCATCGATCAGAAGCACAAAAACATACCTACGTACGTTGTTTTGAAACAAAAGTCGGCACTCCTGGCCATTTAGATGAGGTTAACATCATTAGCTTTAATGTTTCTGTTTTTCTTTGAGTTAGCTAGTGCTACAATCTCCAGAAGAATGATGTGTCTTTGGAACGAAGTCGACAAGATTTAAAATGGCGGACATAACTGGATCGGAGTCTTGTCTTCGTCGCGTTTTTGTCCGACCAAAATTAAAGTGCTTTCACTTCTTTTCACTAAGTATCCCTTTTCGCTACTTTCACATGCAGGAAACACGTTTTTGATAGGTTTCATGTTTTAACAGTGTTTATTGGGGGTAGTAACTCATAAAAAATGCGATGAGACGAGAGCACTTTCGCTCCCATTTCTTGCTCAACCTTCACAAGGCCCGGCTACCTGGCCAGTGAATCGTGATGATGTTCACGAAACCTAGCGCGTTGGCATGTGTTAGTGAAGTTTTCGGCCCTTAAATAAAAATCAACCTGAAGAAACTGACAAAATTTGTAGCAAAATAAACAGCCATAAAGGAACCTTGTAAGTTTCTGATTTTTTTTTTGCTATCGTTTCCAAAGTTGTTTAAGCGGGTGAAACGTAAGTTGTCTTCATAACGTTTGCGTCGGAAAATATAAAGCACAAAAACGTAGCACAATCGACGTTTAAGCTTTGCAACCCAAATGTTTAATCTTATAAGCTTGCATAAAAACAAGACAGACATAATATTATTTCCAAAAGTGATGGCGAAGAAGCTAAAAGTTTGGCTGAAAAATAAGCATAACAAATATTTACACTGCACTGTTGTAATAACATTCTACACCATATTTTCGTAAATGAGTTAGTATCCACTTTCTTTGTTTTTAAGTACTAAAACCACTTTGAATTTCCAAAGGATGGTAAGCGAAGTCCCCGTTTGAAAATTTTGGAAATTCCTGGGGGGAGGGGGGGTCTTCAAAGACCCCCTGGAACGGAAAATCCTGGGGGGTGGGGGGTGCAAATCAAAGAGTCTTCCGTGGTGGGGGTATGGATATTTTCTGGAACCACACATTGAAAGTAAGCTACTGTAAAATTGTGAAAATAAGCCCCTCTGAATATATGCTTCTTAAAAAGGTCTTTGACAAATAAGAGCCCCAATTAAGTTACAATAAAATAGATTCTACAAGCATTATTGGGGATTTAGAAGGTGAAAGTTGTGAAATCTTGATTTATCACCTTTCTGACAAGCCCAGGAAGCTGCTTTGGTCGAAGGGTGACATCTTTCCATTTGTTTAGCAGGTCTGCCCAGCTGCCTAACTCCTCTTCAGTGCATTCTTTTTGCACCGCACCTGATCCAGACAGCAAAGGCTCATCATCTTCATCGTCATCTGCAAATCCAGACACAGTGCATTAAAGTTGTGATTTTAAGGAACTGGTGAGGTATTGGCTGAGTAGAAGCAGTATCAAGTTCTAGCAGAAAATGGAAGATGTGACCAATGAGTTGATCATTTTTGTATGCCTGCTGTTTGCTTAAAAGGCCATTTAAGCAAACAGCAGGGGAGCGAAGGATGGTGCAGCAGTCCAAGAACATGTCTCCTGCCACTGTGGCCCAGGTTCAAATCCAGGTGTTGACGCCACATGTGGGTTGAGTTTGTTCGTTGGTTCTATCCCATGCTTCGAGAGGCTTTTCTCTGGATACTCTGGTTTTTGTCTCACCTTAAAAGGTAACGTTTCTAAATTCCAATTTGAGTGGATGTGCTACCTCTAAATCGTTATTTAATTTATTTATATTACTTTTAAACCTTAACAAGAGTGATGTCTGGTAGACGAAGGACAAGAGTAAGATCTATCTTTTCATCATTAGGAATCAACAACTGCTGCAAACAGTTCACCACAAGCAGTTGCTCACAGTAAATGTTATACTTAGGCACCGTTCTGTTTTTCTGATAACTGTCGTAAGCTTGGTTATACATGGAATTTGCTAACCAAATGATAACGTAACGTTAACCTTGAACTTCTTGGGTCATTTCTAGAGATTTGTAAAAAAAAAAAAGGTACAGACAGTTCTGGTACCAATTAAAGGATAATCATTCAAAGCAAATGCTAGAAATCAGGATAAATGAGGGCACTTTTAACAACTAGTCAGATTCTAGTAACTTTGCCTGACACTAACCATCAGAGGGGGTTTTGTCCCCACCAGAAAGCTGCCGGTTCAGGAAGGTTCGAGTTTTATTCAAGTTCTTGGAAGCTTCTATACTGCTCTCAGTTTTGAGGCTCTTCACTTCAAAGCCTTTTTCGCCTGTGTCTGTATCAGTGACCTGCAATTTAAGACTTCAACATCAAATGCCAAGCAAATTTATCACCATGCTAGAGAAAGAATAGAAAGGAACAAAGACAATGGAAACAAAATGGAAGAAAATATGTCTAAGAGGCAATGAAGATCAATGCTATTTTGTTTAAGAAACAACATGATTGGCGCATCCACTAACCATTCAAAAAATTAATGGTAAAGCTTTTCAAGCAAGGGTACCTTTTTAGGGAATTACTCTGTTTCTGAACTATAAAGCTGTGTGCAACCAGGAGTTATATCACAAGTTTGTTTTAAATTTGTTTCATGGTACAGATGACCCAAAAGCAAGTTTAACCATCATGCACACAAAACCGTTTCTCATGTGGTATGGACAAATCAGAACAATGTGGGTAATTTAGGGAAGTCTAGAACACTGACGTTAGGGTGTTCTTACCTCTTTGAGCTCCATGATGTATATTTCACGGAATTTTGCTCTACTAGGGGTCCAAAAGAACTTCTCTCCACTTGGAAAAATTTTAGCTTTGGTCTCCACAATAAACCTGACTGGTTCCGTTACCCCGGTAACCACCAAATCTACAGCTATTGTTACAAACAGTCGAGTGTCTGATAAAAAAAAACAAAAAAACAGTGAGTTGTAATAATATAATTTTATTTAAACAGCATGGTATCTTGCCTTGAAGGTCTTTGCAAAACTGAATAATTATTTAAGGAAAAAGGGTCAAACCTTCAAAAAAAGTAAACTTAAGACATTTCACTGGAAATATTTATAAAATACAACATTATGAGGTACATTCATGACCAAGTAGTACCTTTCGGTGTTTCTGTGTTCAAAACTAACAGATCACGAATCGCTGGATCCCATAAACCAGTTATGTAATATGTCTTCCCTCCATCTCCAACATTCATTGTTACCTACAAAAAAGTTAAATGGTCCAAACAGACTATGTTATCACTGCCACTTCACGCATGGTAGAGTATTTTTTGTTCAGAGTTGGAAAAGCATAAATATTAATTTTGGTTGCACTGAAAAGTAGAAAAATACCAAACTGATCTTTGCAACACTGAAGTGTGAAACTGATCTGAGCCCATTAGCCATTATTATATTTCATGCTTAAATTCTAAAATGAAACTGATACCTTTTTACAGTCTGAAGCAAATCTCTACAAAACTTTTTGGGTCAGTTATTTAAACGAAGTCCTACTTGGACTGCAGTTTAGCAAATCTTTGGACCTCCAGATACCTTCCTTAGAGGGTTATTTGAGAAAGATAAATGCTTTTCTAGTCTA